TTTCAATTCAAATGAAGCCTTATGCTGATATTAAGTGTAAAATGAAACTGAGTCAACCCTGAACGCATTTTTCAATTATAATTTGGAGTTGTATTCTTTTAACTGAGAGGCTCCATCTAGTGAAAATTGCGTGCTAAATTGTTTCACTTTCATTTTACACTTAATATCAGCATAAGGCTTCATTTGAATTGAAATTAAAACAACTGGATACCTCGATTAATTGCAGGAGGGGGTGTTGAAGAGTGGAAGGGGCTATGTACTCATTTGGGATTTCTACGCCCTGCTGATCCTAATGGCAAGGCTTCATTTAAACAAAAACTCGTCCCAACACCTAGCCAGGCTCATTACACATATGGCAGGTGGGAGTGGAAATTTGTTGCAGGATGCCACATGAGATTCCTGTGAGAATGGTTCTCCATCATAAGCTGTGCCATCTCACTTTGGATGAATTTGGAAACAACAACCCCATACTACCAATTCCTAATGCAAATTATTCTCGTGGTCAGCCTTGGTTTGATGCCTGAAGCCAGAAATTGTTGGTTCAAGCTTGAATCTAGAAATCCAAACACTAATCTAGGCTTGCACTTCAGCAAAGTATCGAGGAAATAGTGCTCCATCAGTGCAATTTCTTTAAGGTTGAGATATCAAACTTGTCTTCCCAAGGGGACATAAACAACTAAATTCTGAGAATGAAGTCCATTGGGATTAGAGAACTTTTCAGCCTTTGTCTCCAGTTTGCTCAGTACCAGTTCCTTGATGATTGTAATTTCACCAAATTCCTCTCTCTCTTCCATCTTCTGATTTACAGGTATTACTTGGATGTCTTTTGTATCCTCTGTTTTAAAGACAGGAGCAAAATTTGTTCATTTCGTCCACAATTTTCTTCTCATCTACTCTTAACTATCTCACTCTCCAGCGGATTAACCTAACTTTATTTATTCTTTTCCTTTATAGATATCTGTAGAAAGTTCTATCTGTTTTTACATTTTGAGGTAGTTTCATCTCATTCTTTTCCACTAATGAACTTTTTTAGTGATTTTCTGGTGTTCTTTATGTTGTGTCCAATTATTTGACTTGCCATTGATCTTTGCCCAGTTATTTTTTCCCCTTAAGTTCGAAGCCCTCCTTAATTTCTTAAGCTAACCTCAGACATTGGGTCCTCTCCTTGGAATGCTCTTTACATTAGAAATGTACTTATTCTCAGTAAGCCAAAATAACCCTTCAAACATCTTCCACTGCTTCTCTAATCGACAATTGTCTAACCTGGCATCCTCATTCGCTTCAGCTATTTCAACTTTTATGGCCATATAGTTGCCTTAGTTAAATTTAAAGTGCTAGTCTGGTCCACTTCTCTCCATTTTAAACTAGATGCAAACTAGTCAGGAACTAGTAGACCACTCCGTCTCAAGACTTCTTTCCCCTAATAATTCTCAGCTCCACCCAAACCAATTCTACATCCTGATCTGCTGAACTAACTGTATCTAACTATCGCATAAATGCCATCGTTGATGAACAGTGCTAATGCTTACCCAGCTTCTTACTCTTCTTGAATTTCATATACCTCTCAATATTTGGGACCCAAATTTTACCATGCAGCCACGTCTCAGCACAGACTCAAATCATTATTTCAAAGTGTGCTATCAATATGTTTACTTTATTGCGAATATTATGTGACACGCACCCTTTAATTTTGTGCTTTTGTCATCTCTGTAACATCTAGTCTTGTCTTTTGACTTATTCTTAGGTTTATTCTTTCTGTCCCTTCCTGCCATTCTTTGACAAATTACTATTTCATTTTCCTGCCTTGACTCTACTTCTCGATTTTCTACAGCTACCCAAACCTGAACCCTCATTATCATTGTTTAGTATAAACCCTACCTATTTCCCTAGCTATACAATTTTCTGGAAAATTGGACCCAGCTCAGTTCAGCTGCAGACTATCCCGATGGTCCAGCTCCCACCAACCCCAGTACAGATCATAGTTCCCCACAAACCTGAAGCCACTTCTCCCATCCCAGGCTTTCAGCCAGTTTCGTTTCACTCATCTGAATGTGATTTCTGTTCATTGGCACGTGGTTAGTTAATAATAGGGATTATCACCCTTGAGGTTTTGTTTTTCAATTTGGTGCTGGGTCCTCATACTTTTGTGCAGCAGAACATCTTTGCTACTACTACCACCTATGTTATTGTTACCTCTATGGACTGATTCAATCATAGAATCCTCCCCTTTCACTCTAAGTCCCTGTCCTTCCCTCTGGAGATGTCTGAAACCCTGGCACTAGGCAGACAACATAGCCATCAGGATTCCTACACTGGGCTGCAGAGAATAGTGTTTTTTTTCTCTCTCACTGTACTATCATCTACTCTCACTGCATTCCTTTTTTGCCTCCCTTGACTTGAAAAGTTTTCTGCAGCATGGTGCCATAATCAATTCACTCATTTACCCTGCAACCCTCACTCTTATCCATACATGAAGAAAAAACCTCAGACGTGTTGGACAATTGCAAATGCTGAGGCTCCTGAACTCCTGCATTCCCCTTACCTGTCTCAGAGTCACATGCTCCTTTCCCTAACCACTGACCAAACCAGAAGACCCAATGATAAGTATGTGGCTGCCTCCTGGTACAAAATATCCAGACAGTGCCTGTAATTCTACCTCCAACTCAAATTCTGAGCATAGCTGTTTGAGCTGTAAGCACCTACTGCAGATGCATTTGCCCTGGATTGCACTAGCATCCAGAGGCTCCAGCTTGTTGCAGCCATGGCACATCACTGCCATCCTGAAAAGTGTTTAATTACCGATTTGAATTCACAGTTCGTTGATCACTCTAATGATATGCCTGGTATGATGTTGTGACAAAGTCTTTGTTCTAATTTTGAATGCTACTAAACAAACTGTTTCCTCATTTCCCATATGAAGATTTTGGTAAAACCTTCAGTTCATACATTGGGGTTCACAAAGAGGCTCTCATAGTCAGGAGAAAACAGGAAAAGGACACTGAAAGGCTTCCACAAAGGTAATGCAGCAAAATTTGATTCATTTGCTTACAATCTCTTTTGGATACCAACCAAGTATCACAGCTTCAAGTCTGTGAGTGACAACAGTGTGAAAACATAGGAGAAGGGAAAGGAAGCAAGAGGATGGGAAATGACCCTCAGGGAGCTCACCCTTCCTAATGTAGGATCCCACAATTTATCTTTTTGAATAAGTGACCCACTGTTCCCAAGATTCTGTAAACAACCTTGTACAGTTAATACCAGTGGCAGCAAGCTGGGGTCTTTAAATGGACATTAATGATTCTCAATTAACAGCAGTGCAAGGACACCATCCACTGATCTGCCCAATGATTTAACTGGGGAAGAGATGGAAAAGTAGTGAAATTACCTGCTCCCCTACCAAAGTAAGTCCTGGGAAAATCAAGATATTCTGGCCAATGTTTGTGTCAAAGTTGTCCTTAAAATCTCCCTCTGAGGAATGCAGCTTTAGCTTCTTCAGTCTTTCAGCATAGTTCCCTATCCCTGGAACTATTCTGATAAATCTTTTCAGCACCTTTTCCATAGCCTTGACTTTCCTCAAATGTAATGACTAGAGCTGAACCCAGTGCTCCAGTTGAGGGCTATACAGACATGAGTGTTGTACAGACATGTATTATAAATTCAGCAGGCCAAGCAGCATCATAGGAGCAGAGATGCTGCTTGGCCTGCTGTGTTCATCCAGCCCTGCACCTTGTTGTCTCGGATTCTCCAGCATCTGCAGTTCCTACTATCTCTGTATTATAAATTCCTTTATTTTGTGTGTTATTCCTCTATTAATTAAGTCAATTATCCCATCAGCTTTTTAAAAAAATTTTAAAACGGATTTCTCAAATTTCCCTGCAATATCCAAGGATTTGTGCATATCCATGCCCTCTTTACACTTGTATTATTTCGCACATTTGTACAAATAAAAAATATAAATTTAAAAGATAACAAAACTCAGAGTGAAAAGAAGTCAAGCCGCAACTCATTTGCAACTTTTTTTCTAATTTAGCGCTTACCCACCGTCATCACATTAGCAACCGTCCATGGAAACGCGTGCACAGTAACGGTAGCGCGCTACTGCCTGCTCGGACGCTCGTGCACTGACGTGACCGAACGGCCACAGTGTGCTCTCGCGATACCACCACTGTGGTCTAGTGCGCATGTATGCTGCGGGTTTGAAGCCGACTGGCGGTGGCTGTCGCTATCGGTGTTAACGGGCTGAAGGTAATGAGCGGTGTTTCCAGTCCCGGGGCTGAGGTTCTCCTTCCCGTCTTGTTCGGTATGGGGTGGTCACTTTTCGTTCAGGATGCAAGTGTTCTTGTTAATAGCCACACAGCTGAAGAAATATCTTCATTGTGGGTGCTAAAGGCACCTGACATGGTTCCTCATGGAAGACTGGTAAACCCGGTTAGATTGCAGACAGTAGGAACTGTCGATGCTGGAGAATCTGAGTTAACAAGGTATAGAGCTGGATGAACACGGCAGGCCAAGTAGCATCAGAGGAAGAAGGGTCCAGACCCCGAAACGTCAGCTTTCCTGCTCCTCTGATGCTGCTTGGCCTGCTGTGTTCATCCAGCTCTACACCTTGTTATCTTAGATCTCACAGACTACAGGGAGAACTAGCCAATTGGATACGGAACTGGCTCCAAGGTAGAAAACAGGTGGTGTTGGAGGGTTGCTTTTCAGACTGGAGGCCTGTGACCAGCAGTTTGCCACAAGGATCAGTGCTGGGTCCTCTGCTTTTTGACATTTATATAAATGATTTGGATGTGAACATAGGAGGTATGGTTAGTAAGTTTGCGGATGACACCAAAATTAAAGATGTAATGGACAGAGTGCAATAGGCTCTTGATCAGATGGGCCAATGGGCTAAGGAGTAGCAGATGGAGTTTAATTCTGATAAATGTGAGGTGTTGTGTTTTGGAAAGTCAAATCAGGGCAGGACTTAATAAAAACCAAAAGAACTTGCATCACCTGTAATTATGGGTTGAGTGCTTCATAACTGGAGCGTGGCTAATGTTGTACCTTTTGTTTGAGAACGATTGTAAGGAGAAACTGGGGAACGATAGGCCTGTGAGTCTGACTTCAGTTGTGGGTGAATTGTTGGTGGTGATCATAAAAAGTAGGATTCGTGGACATTTAGAGAGGCAGAAATTGATTAGGGATAGTCAGTGTGGTTTTGTGTGAGGAAAATCATGTCTCAAACTTCATTTAGTTTTTTTTTGTATCAAAGAGATTGATGGCAGAGCAGTAGACTTTTATTTGGATTTTAGTAAAGCCTTTGACAAAGTTCCACATGGTAGACTAATTAGTAAAGTTAGGTCATGTGGGATTCAGGAGGAGTTTGCCAGTTGATACATAATTAGCTTAATGGTGTGGGTTGCTTTTCGGACTGGAGGCCTGTGACCTGCGCGGTCCCACAGGGATCGGTTCTGGGTCCTCTTTTGTTTGTCATTTATATAAACAATTTGAATGAGATAATAGAAGGCCTGGTTAGTCAGTTTGCGGATAACACCAAAATTGGTGGCATAGTGGACAGTTAATGTTTTCTAAGATTACAAAGGGATCTTGATCAGATAGGCTAATGGGGTGAAAAATGGCAGATGGAGTTCAATCTTGATAAATGCAAGGTATTGTATTTTGGTACGTCAAACAAGGTGGGGCTTTGAGTAGTGTTGTAGAACAGAGGGACCTGGGTTACAGGTACATAATTCTTTTAAGTTTGTGTCACATACAGACAGGGTGGTTAAAAGGTGTTTGGCAAGCTTCCCTTCATTGCTCAGTCCTTTGAGTATAGGAGTTGGGATGTTATGTTGAGGTTATACTTTGAGGCCTCTTCTGGAATACTGTGTCTCGTTCCGGTCACCCAGTTGTAGGAAAGATATTATCAAGCTGGAGAGGGTTCAGAAGAGATTTACCAGGATGTTGCTGGATATGGACGGTCTGAGTCATAAAGAAGGCTGGATAGTCTGGGACTTTTTTCACTGGAGTATAGGAGGTTGAGAGGCGACCTGATAAAATAATGAGGGGTATAGATAGAGTTAATGGTAGTTGTCTTCCCCCTAGGATGGGGGATTTCAAGACTAAGGGACGCATTTTTAAGGTGAGAGGAGAGAGATTTTAAAAAAGGCCCAAGAGGCAATTTTTTTTATACATGGTGGTTCGCATGTGAAATGAACTTCCTGGGGAAGTGGTGGTTGTGGGTATAATGACAATGTTTAAAAGACATTTGGATAGATACATGAATAGAAAAGGTTTGAAGGGATATGGGCGAGGAGCAGACTGGTGGGACTAGTTTAGTTTGGGATAATGTTTGGCATCGACTGGTTGGACCAAAGGGTCTGTTTCCATGATGAATGACTGTATAACTGTGGATGCTGTAAATCGGAGACAAAAATAGAAATTGCTGGAAAAGGTCAGCAGGTCTAGTAGTTTCTGTGGAAAGAAACTGAGTTAACATCTCAGGTCGTGACCTTTCCTCCTTACTGGGTAAGGGTCACTCGACATGCAATGTTAACTGATTCTTTGCACAGATGCTGCCAGACCTGCTGAGCTTTTCCAGCAATTTCTATTTTTATCTCAGGCAGGACTTATACACTTAATGGTAAGGTCCTGGGGAGTATTGCTGAACAAAGAGAGCTTGGAGTGCGGGTTCATTGTTCCTTGAAAGTGAAGTCGCAGATAGACAGGCTGGTATAATTACAACATTTAAGTGGGTATATGAATAGGAAAGCTTTATGGGCCACATGCTGGCAAATGAGACTAGATTTATTTAGGATATCTGCTTGGCATGGACGAGTTGGACTGATGGGTCTGTTTCCATGCTGTACATCTCTGACTATGAAACGTATTATACAGCAGGTTAGTTACAGATTCTAACAAGAAATGCACCCCTCACCCTTACCAATTCTTTTCAAAATGCTAAAAAAAATCCTTCACTTGTAACTCAGAGCATATAATTGATCAAAAGGTGTTGGGTCAGACACCAAGTTTGTTAGTAAATTTGAAGCCCAGGGAGTAAAGAACAGTGGCAGCATAGAGCAGGAAACATGGTACTGGTGAACAGGTGGTTTTCTGGCTGAAGGAATGTATGCAGTAGGGTTCCATGTGAAAATCATTCTTGATGTATATTGGTGACCTATGCATACCAGCAGCCGTATGGTATTCAGCCCTCGAGCCTATTCTACCATTCAATAAAATTGCAGCTGATCTGTGGTCTAATTCCATATACCTGTATTTGGCCCAATTCCATTAATATCTTTGCTTAAAAGTTATCTTTCTCAGATTTAAAATTAACAACTGATCTGATATCAGCTGCAGTTTGTGGGAGAGAGTTCTAAACCTCCCCCATCCTTTGTGAAGATGTGTATCTTGATATCACTCCAGAATAGTCTGGCCCCAGTTTTCAGACAATAGCCCCTGGTTCAAGAATCCCCAACCAGTGGAAATAGTTTATTTATCTTTATCCACCCTGTTTTTTTAAATATAGAGTCATAGATCAGTATAGATCAATCTTGATAATTGGACCAATGGTTGAAGATTGACAGATGGAGTTTAAATTGGATTGCATTTTGGTAAAACAAACAAAGGCAAGACTTGTACAATTAATGGTAGAGCCTTGGGCAGTGCTGTAGAGACCTCGGAGTTCAGGTATATAATTCTTTGAAATTTACTTCACGTAGAGATGGTGATTAAGGCGTTTAGCATGCTTGCCATCATTTTTTAGACCGTTGAGAAAAGAGTTGGGACATTATGTTGAGGTTGTACAGGACGTCGGTGAGGCCACTCCTGGAGTGCTGTGTCAAGTTCTGGCCTCCCTGTCACAAGAAGGATATTATTAAGCTCAAGTGGGTTCAGGATGTTGCTGGGAATGGAGGTTTGAGTTATAAGGAGGGATTGTGTCGACTGGAGCATAGGAGGATGAGAGGTAACCTCATAGAGGTTTATAAAATCATGAGGGTTGTAAATAAGATGATGGCAGGTGTCTTTTCCCTAGGGTGGGGTATTTCAAGACTCAGGGGCATATCTTAAAAGTGAGAGGAGAAAAATTTTAAAAGGACATATGGGGGCAAATTTTTTTACAGAGTGAGACTAGTTTAATTTGGGATTATGTTCGGCATGGACAAATTGGACTGAAGGATCTGCTTCTGTGCTGTATGACTCGATGACTCTGGAGTCGCACAGCATGGAAACAGACCCTTCGGTCCAACTTGTCCATGCTCACCAGGTTTCCCAAACTAACCTAGTTCCACTTGCCTGCATTTGCCCCATATCCCTCTAAACCTTCCCTATTCGTGTACCTGTCTAAATGTTGTAACTGTACCTGTATCCACCACTTCCTGTAGAAATTCATTCTGCACACGAACCACCCTGTGTATGAAAAAGTTGCCCGCAAGTCCCTTTTAAATCTTTCTTCTCTCGCCTTAAAAATATGCCCCCGAGTTTGGAATTCCCCCACTTCAGGGAAAAGACCTTGGCTGTTCACCTTATCTATGCCCCTCATGATTTTATAAACCTGTATAAGGTCACCCCGTCAACCACCCATGCTCTAGTGAAAAACATCTCAGCCTATCCAGCCTTTCTTTATATCTCAATTCTTCTTGTCCAGGTAAATCTCTTCTGCCCTCTTGCTCATTTATTAATTTCCGATAGAAAGGTGACCAGAACTGTACACAGTACTTCAAAAGTGGCCTTACCAATGTCCTCTACTCGATGGTTTGAGCAATTAAGGCAAGCATGCTAAACAACTTCTTAACCAGATGATTCCTTAATGTTCTAACTTTGAAGAAAACAAGCTTAAATTGTATAATCTGTTGTCATAATTTAACCGCTGAAGTTCTAGTCCTATTATTAGAAACCTATGTTGTACTTCGTCCGTATCTTTCTCAACATATGGCAGTCACATTTGCTCACAGTACTCCAAGAGGGGTATAACCAGGATTTTGTATAACTGCAACATAATTTTCTACGTCCTTATACTCCAGTCCTCGAGATATGAATGTCAGCATTCAGTGAGCCATCTTGATTATTTTCTGCACCTCTTTGTGGCATTTTAAAGATCTATGCACCTAAACCTCAGATTCTGTTGGATATCCACTGTATTTAACTTCATACCATCTAGAAAG